TATAGGCTGCGCGTCATTGTGCCATCGGAAAGGGTGGCTCTACATTTGTTTGCCAAGTAAATCTAATGACCCTAACTTATTAGATGAACCTTTGAAAGGCTTCATAGTGAACCCTGCCGATCTTCTTTTGTAGTGGGTCAAGAGGTTGGCCGCCTCGGGCGAAAGGGTAAATCATGACTCACAGTGAAAATGTACAACCTCTGTAGAGTGTAAAACTGGTATATCAGTCGTGCTCACGGTCACGAGCGGCCTTGGACCCTTATGGAATAGATGATCACTAATAATTATCCATTTATGCTATTCATTATTTATGTTTACAGTGATCATGTGTTTACTATGGATTATGACAACTTGATGCTATTCATATGCTAAAATTGTGACAACTAAAAGCTAAACATTGTTAAACCTGTGTCAAACCTTTTGAGCCTCATGAATCCTATGTTATATTTGCTGAGTACGACATGTGCTCACCCTTGCTATTTCCCCACACCCCCAGACTTTAGAAAAGTTGCTCCGAAGATTGATAGAGTTACGGATGAGTTCTCAGAAGACTGATAGAAGTGCTAGGCATATGGTACCCCCAGTCAACCGTCCCTATGAAAGATGGAGCCTGAAGATTAGCTACCGTTCCATGATACTATATGTAAGTATTAAATATGAGTATATTTTTGTTATATAATAAAGCATTGTCTCTTGATACTATTGTAATTTGTCGGTTTATGTGTGTGACTGATCTCTAGGTGCACATAAGATTATATATCTCATTTTATCCTTAAAATCGGGTGTGACAATGCTATATATTCAGTAAGCATCAAGCTATCATTAGTACACCATCTGGTTTCACACCATCTCCACCAATATACCCGTTGCGGCAAAGGTGATCTTCAAGGGACAATTCGACGACACCAGATCAGAGCGATGATGATACTGGATACCAGTTTACTATTGATTCACCTTTGCCTGACATTTTCAGTTGTGTCCCAAATTTTGACAAAGATGTTCTAGACTTTAACTCCTTTATCCGCAACAAATACCAAGGACAGGTATGAATTAAATTTCATTCACTTTTTTCTCTTTACACTCATAGACCTCTTTACTAATTCCTCCATTCTCTATTTTTGTTTGAAGGTCGACTCCAAAATACTTGATGACTTGAGGATCTACAATGCCAGATGCTTAAATCATCTTTCGAACTCTTATCGCGCACTTGCTGCTTCAATTGTCAATGAGAATGCCCATATTGCTACGCGGTTGTTAGAACAGCAGCTTCTTTTCTGGTACAAACTTCAGCAATGGTCCATTAACCAGTAACTTACATCAAAGATGTCGCAGATATAATGAATTCCTTAGTGGCACTAATTCTAGTACTGATGGTAAGAATTTTTTTTCCTTACAACATTCCAATTGTGCAACCACAACATTCTAACATACTATCCATCCATGTAAACAGGCGAAGATAACAGCCTGCACCCCAAGATGCCCAGGACTAGGCTACCTTTGTGTGCTATTCCAGGAACCAGCAGCGGCACTAAACTTGACTCTGGGATCAAAAGTAGTGATATGAATCTTCAGTCCACAAGTAAGCAATCGATTTAATGTACCAATCACATGTACATTTTGTCTTAATTTTAGTCTTTCATATCCTGTCCTTTTTATTTTTTTAATGTAATCTTATCTATTTTTATCTTTCATTACCAGGCGTCTCTATCACCATCCTAACCAAAGCAACATAAATTCTAACATGATACCTGTCCCACAAAAGTTAAACCTCCCGTTCGCTTCTTCTAGATCTTTGGTTTTTGCCTCTTCCTGTGGTATAGAAATGAACACAACAAATACACCATGTTTTGTTCCACTTGCAGCTGCTAACTCTAATCTTACACTGGAGAAGAAAAGAATTGGTCGTACCGAATCATCGGAATACAATTTAAGTACTGGTTGCTTGAACTTGTTTGATTTTGCCACTCCGGAGGCTACTCTTAAGATGGGTCATATCTCAGCATTCATTTCTCCAACAACAGAGAACACATTATTCTCTGGTGCCTGTCTTTCCGTGAGGATGCTTGAATCACTTAATGTAATTGATTTGAATTCTGCTACATTTGACGATGATTACAACGTATTGTCTGGACCTAAAAAAAACTGTCTGTCCAGGCCCTATTTCTCCATCTCGTTTTTCTATGAAGTTGGAATATCCTGAAATTGATCCAATTTCCATGGAGACATTTTATCAGTGGATATCAAAAACCAACAGCAAGGATCTGGATAGGTACACACATGCTTCCTTTTTTTGTCTTTGTGGAGATTTCCTGTTTCCTTTATATTCCCTTCTAACTGAAAACATTTTCTTTTGTTTATATAGCAATTGGATCATGCATAACATTCCTCGCTTTTTAAAGATATCCGGTCATGACCTCAAACAACAGTTTGTTTTAAACAAGACCATGAGCTTTGATGTATTTGACGTTTCTATACGCCGAATGAATCAACTTGACAGTGGCATCTCCTCGAATCAGATTATGCAGTGAGTCGAACTTTAATACTTAATTATTAATTCTGCTATATATTTTAACAACAATCTCAATAAATATGTCACCCTTTTGTCCACTGCAGATGCATGTTCTTGGTGCTGAAAACCCAGTTGAAAACAAGCCAGTCCGTGACCAGTTTGTTGGTCCGGGTGTTGACTACGAGGTCTCGAGATGTTGCATGGTAAAACAAACCTATTTTTTCTTTATCCATTCTTATTTATTTTTAACATAGCTTATCTATATAACTTTATTACTCTCTATAACAGTTCTTCATACCGGTGTTCGTTAGCGGAACCTGGCGGTGTTATGCGTTGGATATGACTTCTTCTGTGGTTTTCATCATTGATCCATCAGCTGGTTCTCTGAAAGACGTGTTAATAAAAAAAACATATTGGAACAATTCAATAACTTTCTAAGAGCAGTCCCAATGAAAGAAACTAGTAGTTTCTATAACCTAGGATACCGTACCAAAAAAAGTACTGCTTTTCAACTTATGGTTTCTATGAGTAATAATTATTTTCTCTTTCTCCCAACTCTATCTTATTCCTCCAATGGGAGCGCGACACGAGCTCTCTAGAAACTGGTGGTTTCTCCCCAATGACGATTTTATGGTTTCTTGGTGCATTGGGTCAAGAGTAGACCTGATTTCTTCACGAGGAAACCATTTCTATGATTTTTGCTCTCTTTCTTCATTAATTACGTTGTCATGTCAGCGTTTTGCCTACGTAGCAAGTCATTTAATGAGGATAGAAACCATCATCAATATACCATTGGGACTGCCCTAAGTCACTAGCATCCACAATAATTGATCTTTTTAATGGCTGGGTTCCTAAATGTTCTGCTTCCAAATGTGTTGTGGTGAGAATTCCAGGAATGCCATATAGCAGGTTGCTAATTATTTGTTGTTACTGTCGTTCTCAAAATTATTATAAAACTTATATTATCTCCTCTATCTTCATTTGACAATCAAGTTATCTGCATTTGCAGCAAAGTATCTGGCCTGATGACTTTGTTTTGTATTTGGAACTTTGACGGGAGCAATGTCACTGTGGCGGCTAATCTGGTTTTCCCTTTTTAAACTTATTATATTTTGTTTTGTGGTCTAGTTGTTTCAAAGACCACTAACTTTACCTGGTTTTCTTCGTATATTTTACAGGCCAACATAGCCAACTTCAAAGCATACTTGTTGTACCAGCTGTTGCAAATTGAACATAACACTGGACGTTTGCCAAGCGCATTCATCCAGAACACTGATTAACGATGATATCCAATTAATTAAGATATTTTGTGTTAGATCCACTACATGATTGATTTTGGCGTCGCCTTTTTAGTTTAACTGTACCTCTGGAAATACAAATCTTCCTTGCTTCAATACGTTGTACCGTTGCACTAATTACCCCTCTGCTTTTGCATTGTAGCAAACATTTTGTGCTGCAAATGTCTTCGGTGTAATAATTTCCTTTAGTTAGTTGAGGATTGGAACAAATTTTCAGTTATAATCTCAAGCTGCCTACTTATGTATTTCCTTTATTAATCTTTCACTTCTGCGTGTAAAGTTATATACGCAGCAGGATGATCTTATCTATTTTGCTTTTGCTTCACACAGTTATTACTTATCTAAAATTTCGCACCAGTGCCCTCTTCCGCCTTGTTTTTCTATCACAACAAATCAGCCAACGATACTTTCAGCTATGGCTTATCGGCCAAGCGAACATGACAGTTCATCTACTTACATTTTATTTCCTATTTTTCACTAGCTTTTATTTTTTTTAACAGCCACGCCCTTAGATTGTTGACATTGATATCTTATTTCAATGTTTATCTCTCGAAGTGTTATGTTGATCCTTTAGCTTATGTGAAATAAATTACTCAATGAGACCACGCCTGTGGTCCAACCTTGGTAGTTGTGCCGGCCACCAACGTGCCCACGATGTCCGGCTGCGAGGCATCGGCTCCGGCCCCAATCCCACGAGGGCCACCTGCATTTCCGCACAGGGGGTCCTCTGTGGATACGTTGGCAGCCTCTTTTCCCATCATATCTTATTGACAACTAACGGAAATTCATGACAGGAAAGACAAACTTCTGTGGAAAACATACAGGAAAGAATTTCAATATCGAGGTCAAATACTAAAGAACCATTAATTCTGTTGTCTAATAGGAAATTATCTCAATTAAATAACAAACACTCTTAGACGTGTCAACGAGGACCTCATTATAAATTGCTGATAAAACATGAATCAGTTCAAAATAAATTCAATAAACCACCTCGAAATATCAATATCCCTTACAACCTGAATTTGACAATGCATCACCATAAGTTTGTTTTAGAAGTTCCTCCATAAACAAAAGCCACTACGTTATCATGAACTTTTCATCAGTTGAGAAGGCACCCAAAAGCATTTGCAGCTTTTCGAACGTAATACATATAAGTGTGTTTTCAGCTGCAGGAAGTGCATTTATTGAATGGTTCAGTCATGTGGCCCAAACCCTTCCTGCCTTTTTGATTTCTTGGTCTTTCCTTTAGGGTTACTAGTTTCACCAATTTCAGCAGAGGCTCTGTAGCTCCTTCCCTTCCTCTTCCTTTCAAAAACTGGTTTGAACCTTTTTTCTCTCTGCCTACCAAAATGTTCTGGAATCAAAGGCGCCTGAATATTTTGGATGTCAGCATCACTCATGTAAGCACTAGAACCAGAGGCCCCATACGTATTTGTTACAATTCGCTGTGCATTTGATTCATAACCTGACTGATCTTTCCCCTCACTTTCACTGACAATCCCAGGAGTTTGTGCAGGTGAACTGCTAGCATCAGTTCCAGGCATGTTGCTCAAGTTTTCACTCGGCATCCCATCAATCTCTTTCTTTGCCATATGTAGGTACCTCATCAATATTTCTGCTGCCTTTGGATTCTTGTCAGTTGACTTTACCACCTCCAGAGCATTAGCATACAATAGGTTTTGACCTAGCTGTTCTCCCACTGAAGTGCAGACCTCATCTGGATACTCAAAATCACGTGCATTCCTAGTCCACCTCTTCAATGTGTGCTTGAGGTATTTTCTTCACCCCATTAGTTATCATAACCTATTCAATAGACATAATGGTCAACCTCTTAAATAAAAATTTATTCAACTTCATACAAAATATTAACTTGGGTTACATGAAAGACATTTCTAGTAAATTCTTACCTTAAGAGCATGGCAGCATAGTATTCCAAAATGTTCGTACTGTCCACATTCACATGTATACTTCTGACCATCTTCTTGAACTGTTACATAAAAAACAACACGAGCCCAATCTTACCTTGTATCTGCATTATTGTGTATAACGAAATAGCTATTTTCTCCTTTTCCTGGCGACACCAAATAATCTGTAGACTTATCCACCTCCTCACTGAACAGCTCGAAACAGTTTTTTGTGTATACACTAATCGCATGCTTCTCAATTGCATACATTCTTTTGGTACGATGTACAAACTACAAAATTAAAAACACTAATGAGTAAACAACACATTAAAATTAAAAGTCCCAAGATAGATTTGTTGTCACCCAAAATCCTTTCCAACTAATGCTATTTACTGTTCCTAAACTGTTTATCAAATTCATATTAACAGTTTATATATCTACTACAAGAAATAAACAATTCATCAATATATTTAATTACCGATAACATCATTATATTATTAAAAAGAAAAGAAGGAATGAGTATGGTAATCAAATTCCTTAGAAATATTTATGAATCTTTTCTTAGAAATACTCAATCACTTATGTCTGTACCTGTTTTGTTTGGTGTTCAGCCTTCTATTCGGCTGCTGTATGAAGGAACAACATTTTCCTGTATTGTTCTACAAACCGGTTCATTGATGAATTTCTTGGTATTACTTTCTTCAAAATACTGTTTGCACTTTCAGACCTCTGTGTACTAGCCATCCTAGCACAAAATGTTTCTCTAGCCCATGGCTTTGCCCACTTTTCTCTCTTTGCATAAGTCCTCTTCATGAATTCATTTTCTTTCAGACCATAACGCTTCACCAGATCATCCCAAGCTTTCTCGAACTCATCAATAGTTAGCATTTGATTTATCACGTAATGAAACTCTCTTCTGAATGGTCCATTGTTACGATAAACTGGTCCCAATTCTTCTGGTGCATAACGAAGAACATGCCATTTGCACCATAAATGTGTAGTCCAATCTGGAAATACTTCTTTGATAGCCTTTGTCATTGCCTTGCACTGATCTGCCATGAAACACAGAAATTACACTATGCTTAACATTTCGTAAAGAAATAATAATTGATAAATTTTCAATGAATGCATTACTAAAATATTGTACCTGTCAGTATTGTAACAGGTGCCTTTCCACCCATCAATGTTAGAAATTCTTTGAATACCCACTTGAAACTTTCTGTGTCCTCATTTTTCATCAGCACACCAGCAAACAGTATACTTTGCAAGTGATTGTTAACACCCACAAACATACCAAATGGCATCTTGTAGATGTTTGTACAGTATGTTGTGTCAAAAGTGATTGCATCACCAAAAAAGTTATACTGGCTCCGACTTCTACCACTAGCCCATAGCAGTGTTTTGACCTTTTTGTCACTATCAAGATCTACACTGAATTGAAATCCTGGGTCTTCTTCTCGCATTTTTCTAAATATTTCTAATGTCTTTCCAATATCATCATCCTTTTGGTCCTTTGCAATCTGAGAACATACAGCCCTCAAAGACTTTTGGTTGAAAGGAACATTTTGCATACCACCATACATGCTGCCCATAAAGCAATGCACTCTACTCAGGCTAACATTGTTCTCTCTAAGATAGCGTATCATTTCTTTTGCGCACTTCTATATCTTACTATGTGAATTCCATTCTCTCTTCTCCCCACAAGTGACAGGCGTGGCATCGTTGTGGTTAGAAACATGCTTACTAATATACCAACCCATGTCCTCAGTCCTGTGAAGCGTTATCATAGCCTTGCAACGAATTCTCGTTGAACTCCTCTTGCATCTTGAATCAAAACCCTGAAATCCAGAACATTTCACAAACATTTTCATCCGAAAAGGTCAAGCTGCTCTTATAATATATGATGAAGTTAAGTGCAAACCTGTCTTTCGCAGACTATCTTTTGCATAGTTCTCATTTTGTTTACTCTGTTTCTTGCAAATGAACCAAAACAAATTCCAAAACCAACTTCCCACGAATAAAGGTTGTAGAATTTGTATGCTTCTATTCTTGAATCAAAGATCATCCCTAGTTTTGGCTCAAATATGTGTCGCGTAGATCTGGTCGATGCATTCCTCATCGTCTTTTCAATAGTTCTAATTTCTCTCGCTGGCCTGCAGTCTGGTACCTCATAACCTTTTGGAAAACGCCGCCTATAAGATGTTAAAAGTAATATCATTACCATTTTTTTCCTGCTAAGCACAAATATTATGATATTTCCAGATAAATCTTACGATAAATTTCACGATAAGTAGCATTATAATAACACAAAGCTTTCATATTAATTGAAAATATTTCTAACCATCCAAGTGCATTATTTCTAAGCATCCAAGTGCATTTTTTGTCCTGTCACAACCACACACACATAAATACACACCTCTTTTTGACAGCTCCTCTTTGCTGACCATTGACTTCCACAAATTCGAATTCAAGTGCCTTGTCTACTTCACTCTCTGTTTTATCTGGTTTTGAAATCCACTCCATTGTTGTTTCTTCCTCACATATTCCATCTGAACCTTCATCGTCTGTGTCGTGGTATTCCTCATCTTCATCAAACTCTGTTTCACTCTCTTCAATCTCTTCACCTTTTTTTAACACAGCAACATTAAACTGAAAAATTATTTTTTCCCCTATAAAACTATTTATTTAAAAGATGGCGAAGAATTCTGTAGAGACATACCATTGTTTCTTAAATTGTCCCCACAATCATCTGATGTACCAGTTGTAACACATTGTCTTTCTGCCATTGTTACTTTTGACCCCAATTAATTCTCCCCCTGTGATGCTTTGTACCTTTCCCCTACTGACGAAACAGTACGTAGCAAGTCTTGGAGTGGTCCTGAATAAAAAAATTATGTTATACAAATTACCGATAATATTCACACACTACTCATTTTTATACTGCCAATTACCTCGGCCAGTTGTCATTTCTGTTGAACTTAAAAGGTTGTAAAAGTATCCATTTGATGAAGCATTGTTAAAAGCACTGTCGTTTAGTCCGCAGTTTGTATCCTTTTCCATTTGGGAATTTCCATTCCCCTCAACAAGATGTTGTGTTCTGTGGTCTTGTACCAATGGATTGACACCTACATATCCAGCTACTGAAATTGATTCAGATTTTTACTCAACAAACAATTGAAGATCCACATTGTAAAATGTAATGATTATCTGAACAAACCTGTTCCCATTGGATTGTTGTGTTGAAGATGCCAGGGACTATAACCTGGGAAACCATGCCAATAATTACTATTGACTCCATTAGCAAAAGCTTCATCTGTTGGATAACGTCCTACACGCTGAATACCTCCGTGGAAGTTAATCTGTTGTTTTGGAAGTAACATTGGGAAACCTTGAGGACTCTGCAAAACTGAACGACGATACAAGAATCATTTTCGTGGAATTCTTACAATTTCCAATCCTAACCACAAGGAATAGCATTTGTTGCAAAATATTTTAAAAATGGCAGCATAGTTGGTAAGGCTCTCAAAAAAACGGTGGTGCTCTGTCTAGATTATATTATCACATAAGAGATAAAGTACAATGCTATCTTATTGATTTAGTACAGTTAAGTGGTTAATGCCTACAGTTACATCCATCATTATTGTTAATATTTATTTATCTTATCAGAATGAAGGTCTAAGTTTTAATTAAATTCCACTGAGAACAACAATCTTAAACTAGTATAGTTGCTTCATGAATTTGCAAGCTAATACAAGGAAAACAAATATATACAGTCGTAATCATTGATTTAATATTTTCCTAAATAAAAGTTTCAACACTGAGGACAAGGATCCTTACCATGTTGTTGGTAATGCATCGGTATATTACCAAACCTTGTATTTTGATGTAGGTGTGCCACCGGTTGACCAACTGAATGCACCGTCTCTGGCCGGCTTGCACCTTCAACTTCTCTGCGCTCCATGTACTCCACCCTTCTGGATCCGCTTTGGACGCCTGCCCATTGCAGAACGCCGTCCATGGCAAATCCTTGTACGGCTACACCACCTCTGTCTCCGGCGTAGCTGAGTACAGGAAATCCATTGCCGCCAAAGCTGGCAGATCTAAGTAGAACTCCGCCGTCGCCCCTTTGTACGGAGTACCCTTGGCCGCCGGAGTGGAGAAATTTCTCGCCGGGCATATGCGCGCCGGAGTTGGAAGCGCCTTCTTCTACGGCACTGCTACATCTTGACATAGCTGCGCCGGAGTTGGAAGCCGATTGGAATCCGCCGTCGCTTGGAGACATTGGCGCCTCGTTTAGTTGCCCGGAATCGGCGCCGCGAAATTACTGTAGCCTACGTTGTATCCGGTAATAATTATCCGATCGTTGACTAATTAGGCTTAAAATGTTGGTCTCGCAAAATACAACTAAACTGTCTCTAACATGAACACCCTATCCACCATCTCCTAAAAACTATCATACTTGACATTAGACATCATGTACGATATACCATCATTGAGCCCCTCCAAGAAATGGTCCTACTTGTCCTCATCTTTCTCAACCTCATTCGGACAACACCGCAACAATTGTGTGAACTTGTCGTGATATTCACAGATTGACATAGAACCCTGCTTCAGAGCTAAGAACTCCTTCAACTTGATAAGACCTGCTGGCACATGGTGCATCTTGAAGGCCTCCTTGAACTGGTCCCAAGTGATAGTGTCTGGGTTCTCATGTGCGAAGCAATACGCTTCCCACCAATCCTGAGCAGCTCACTATAGCTGGCCAGAGCCATACAGAACTTCTCCCTATCATTACACTGAGCAATACCAAGCTGCTTCTTCATAGCTTTTAGCCAATCATCTGCCTGCATAGGATCAATGCTGTGAGAGAAGAATGACGGACGCCCCTTCTAGAATAAGGGTCATTCCTTGCATGAACTGGGTCTGCATGGCCACCAGCTGTTCCATGGTCAAAGGTGGAGGAGGTGGTGGTGGGTTGGCGTTGCTGGTGTTGTTAGTATTGTTGGCATTCTGATCAGCACCAGTACCAGCGCCGCTCCTTGTCGTAGGCACCTGGTGTATAAAAGTAGTATAGTATGAGCATGTATAATTCAAATATGTGTCTAATCTATGAATATAAACTACAACTGTATAATACTTTCTCATAACAGATAATCAACTGATATTCCATAATCTCTTTACATGTAACAGGTAACAGGTGAAATATAATAATTCTGATAGGTGATATGAACAGGTGATATACTGACTATGATAAAGTAAAACAGATATGATAAAGATATAGAAGATATGATAAAAGCATAATAAGAGAGACCAATAACCCGAACTAACTATTCATTAACTTAATACTTAACCTTGTTTTGATGCATTGTGGACATCACCCCACAACTCATCTCACTCATTACAAAGATCCAAATCACACCAAATGGACAATAATAATTCAAGTTCTCACACAGACCAAGCAAATCACACTAGCAAACCAACCTAACAATAGACTCACCATAGACTCGCATCACAAACGATGTGCTACCGTTCTAAACGTGGCACTTATTTATTACATGAAAGTGAGGCATCTCCTATTCAATCCTAGTGCGACCACTGGCTGCTCCATAGCGTGGATCTTCATGGGGCGAAGAGAAGGCCGGCCACTATGGTAGAGGTGGCGCCCTGCCTGTGATCTAAGCCTCCAACTAAGCAATCCTCCTCCTATCTTTTTTTGCCTGTAGGCGCAACTGCCTCGTCTCCACAAGGGAAGCATTCAGTTCAGTGTTGGTGATGGCCAACAGCTACACTGTAGGATTCATCCGGTTGCTCGGCTTCCCCACAGTAGAGGCATTCCTCGCTGCTAGCTCTCCACGGCGGCGACGAGGGTAGTAGCAGCGCTCATCCTGACTGATGCGGTGGAAGAAGTGGTCACGGTAAGCATAGAATGCCTGACGAGCGACATCACGGATGCCCACCATCTGGGTAGATCTGTCAGTAGGAGCTACATGGATAGACACAATCCAAAAAGCATGCATGATAGGATTAGGCCTTCCCACGTGAGTGTAGATCCTCCAGAAAGCTAGGTAAACTAGGTGACTCTAGTGCTCGCTCCTGTATTACACGACATACATGCCATGGCCATACTGCTGGTGGAGAAGGTCCTAAGCTGAGTGTGAAAGAAACACTCTCCACCATCACGAGTGCAGATCGTCATGATCCACCCATCCTGAGCCTGGTACTGATCCCCCTATCCTCCTAGTCCTCCTGGTCCATTGGCATCCTCATCATCATCAGAATAATCTCCATCAGGGTCTCCTCCTCTAGCACCCTGATTGGGTGCCTAGTGCCCAGCTTGGTCCCTAGCCTGCTACTGAGCCACCAAAGCTTGGCAGACCACCTGTCGTCCCTAACACACATCATGCCAGAGGTTGTGCCATCATCTAGGGGCTGGCTATGGCGGAACACAAGTAGTCAATGTTCCCAGTCATAGGGAACTCCACAGCACGGTCAGAGTGATAGTTCACGTAGTTCCGGCGATAGGACAACCTTTGACGAGCCATCTAATGATATGCATAAGAACATAGACATGCAGGAAACGATTAATAGATCATGATAACGATGAATTGAGGATAACGACAAAATGAGGATAAAGTAATATGCATAATAAGGACAAAAGGGGACATTAATGATGGACTAGAAATAATAAATAACATGAAGGTATAATGCTCTTTGTGGTATTTGTGGTAAAATGTAATGAGAGGTAATAAATGTAAGATAATAGTGATAATGGAAGCGAGATAATAATTACAATGATGAGATAATAATGAAAGATAAGCTATTAAATGCAGGTAAGTAATAAATGCAAGATAATAGTTGTAAGGTGGTAATGATAATAAGAATAAGATAGTAAATGCATGTAAGTAATGAATGCAAGATAAGACGATAAATGTGATAGACAGATAAAGTAAGATAATAAAGGACTTATAAATGAAAGGAAACAAAAGAAATAACTTAAACGGATGTTTCTAACTAGGCTGCATGATCCTACAGTCAACACGGCTTTAATACCACTTCTGTCACACCCAGATTTGAGAGAGCAAACCAGGTGCGTATCACATGTGTGCCAGGATCTCAAATTACACACATACATGGACATCATCAATGGTACAAAACACAGTGTACGTACATTAATGCGTAAACGAGTACAAGAGTATCATTATTACAAGTCTTTCAGCAAAGTTCTAGTGGAAACTTAAATAATATCGTTCGAATGAAACAAATAAACGATGACGTCAATGTAGCGAATCCACCTCGCCACAGGAATGTCAACGGTAGGAGACACACGAGCCTAACAACTAGGTAAATCTTCTGGGAAGTCCACGTCCCAATCTTGATCGTTCGAGCACCCTTTATTTGTGATTATAGCAAGGGATAGTCCATGTCAAACTCAGCAAGTACAGATGGAAAGTAATGACATACAAGGCTTATACAAAAGGATGGCTGACACGGTTTGACTGCAGGTACGCATTTTTAGTTGGTAACTTTTATTAGAACAACCTGTTACTACTATGAGTAGAATATCCCAACACTTAATTAAATGGAGTAGAATTAACAATATTATTAATCATCATCATTATAATTAATTAATATCACTGAGGTAGCAACCTCAAATAGAAACCCGGGTAGCAACCCCAATAAGAGCACGGGATAGCCATCCCACCAAAACATGAGGTAGCCACCTCAATCCATAAACCGCCTCCATTGTCCAAGTGAGTCAAGTTCTAATAATGTAGGAGTTTGGGCCGCTCGTGACTGAGAGAACGGCTGATATATCAGTTTTAACTCTGCAGAGGTCTACACTTTTACTTCAAGTCATGATTCCCATTTGCCAGGGGTCATGACTCCCCAAAACACTACCGAGGTGAGTAGGCAGGGTTTCACTATGAGACTTTTCACAGGTTCCAGCTAATAGAGTGCAACCCGTAAGGTTTGGCCTAGGCGCCGGTAACCGTCCCCATAGCCATGGAACCCAGACAACCGCAACTTAATATTCATTACCTAGGTTACTTTCTTACGCCTACTCGGTAAGCCACACCCTACTAGTAGAGGTCTTGATACTATATCAAGCCAGAGCCATATGGCTTGAAGTTGTACTATATGTCCTAGGTGGTTGCTCCACAAATAGGTCCTTAGGAAGGGCAGACATGGGTACCCCCCGGAAACCTGGCCAAGCTCTAGTACCTGTTCCCCCTTTCATCACCTTAACCACGATGCTAGAAAGCATCACAACATCTCCATCTCCATAGTAACCATTAATCATTAATTCATTATTAAGGTAATCATTAGGAATTAATAATTTCATTAACATGTAATAATGTGGGTGGAGCCGCTAAGCATAACTACACTACCCAAATGTAGACCCCTAGGTAACACAAGGAATACAAGATAGGGCTCATCAGGTCCTTAGGGTTTGCAGTATTTAAACACATGTAATGAAAGTAAATGTATTTAGTGTATAGGAGCAAAATGATCAAATGGTGTCTGCACTTGCCTTGTCCAAGCTCGGGCTGCTCAAACTCCTAGGGTCCTGCTCCTCTTCCTTCCCTAACATCTTGTTCTAAACGCAACAATCATCACACACGGGAGAAATACATGCAAGCAAACAAGTATTTAATTAGAAGTACACCAACACAAACAACAATAGTAAACAAGCTAATAGAATTAATCTGCGCGTCGAGATGAAACTGTAGGAACAAGAACCACCTAAATTGGAATTAAAACGTGAAAGTTATGGCCTAATTAAGCTACTGATGGCATTCCTCTAATTAAAGTGAAATAATTTTGCATTTAAATTAATTAAATATGAGATTTGAAAGCATTTTGGACTAAATCTGCTAATAGCGACGGCTTTGGGGCTTGAACTACAAAAACTAGGGCTTAAATCTAATTTCTTTTGAACTGCATAGGACCGCGGGTTGATTCAGGGAAAAGGCGGGGGCTTTTCCGCAAAACTGCTGGTGTTGACCGGTGGCGGCCGCGTTGACAGCCAAGTGGCGGGCTACGGTGGGCGGGTCCGGTGGACCAGCCGTGGACTGACCTCGTGGACCAAGTCCACCGTTCCACGGTGGACCGAGGGGCGGCGGCGGCGTGTTTCGAGGCGGAGGTGACATTGCCGGCGACGGCGCGCACATGACGGCGGCGCTGCAAGGCACAGTGAAGCGAGGCGAGGACACGGGCGCGCAATGCACGGCACGGCAAACGCGGTGCGTGTCTTGGCCATGGCAGGAAGCGGCCAGAGGT